AAATAACCAGTCCTCCAGAAGCTCCTTGCTCAAACATGGATTGGGCCAAAAACGTGCCTCAGTTGACAGTTGACTGTTTACTTGCGCTATGCAGGTTATGGCTGCGATCCTGCTTATAAATTTGTCACGTTAGATGCTGATCCTTATCACAAGAGCCCACGCCCAGAATCTTGCACAGTTCGTTATCACGGCAACTTCTCCCCTCTTCATGCATTTGAGATCGAACTTCATTGGATCGCGGCAACTGGGTGCATCGTGGGCGACATGGTAGGGAAATTAAATTAATTCTGCAAAGAAGGAACCAGTTTCATTTTAACCCTTTAACTCCTAGAGGCGATTAACATGTTACTTCTCCCTATAATATCCATACATCATCCAGCAAACAGGTTATGAGAATATTCAAACTTATCAGGGAGAGGTTGTTAACTTGATCTAACACCAAAGTCTCGTTACTAATTACAGGGAAATGTGTAGCAGCTAGAAGGGAGAATCAACAATCTCATCTTGGGAGTTAAATGGTTAATTGTTAATATTCTCTATGTTGTAATTTTTCTAAGAGCACCTGATTCAGTTGGCTTCTCACTCATGTCTTCAGGTTAGTTCTTGGTCGAGGAAGGCACCGTCTTGTGGTTTTCATCTAGTCCCCGTCCCAGTAAGTCCATTTCCTGATCCAAAAAGTAAGAATGTGGATCCTTTTCGTTTACCGGTTTTCATTCAGCTGAATCTGTCCAACTGCACTGCAGACGCAAGCAGCCTGTTTGAAGGTACAAGTAACATTTTAATTAAAGATTTAGAAACAAGCTGTTGCGAAATAAATAAATCTTACTCTGTGTTTACTTGAGTTAGCCAACAACAACTTGTAATCATTTCCGTAGAATTTGAATGTTCCACCCGAAGTCGAAGATTGTTTTTGTTCTTGGAAGCCATTCTTCAAAGGTGAGTACCTTCTTTGATCAATATTCTTCTTCTGGTATTATTTCCTTACTTTAAGAGGATTCTTGATCATGGAATATGGAGGAATTAAGATGAAAAAGAACGTGCAAGGAATAGAGATTTTTGTGTTGATAATTGGATAATTGGTAGGAGATGAATGTCGGTGCGCTGAAATCCGAGAAGAGAGGACTGGGTTCGATACCCGGCCAGGTCAATATGTTGTGTTTCTGGGCAAAACATTCTACTTTCATACTGTCTCTCTCCACCCTGAAAAATGAGTACCGGCGAATTGTCAGGGAAGGCTGATGAAATGC